ACCTTTCTTGAAGAACAAGACCACCGCACTTCTGCTCCACGCCTCCGGTGTAATGCCACCATGGAGGACGGAATTAAAGAGCTTCTGAAGGACTTCAAGTACCGGTTTCCCACCCGCTTTCAGAAGCTCCGCTGTAATTCCATCCTCGCCTGGGGCTTTACCGTTTTTAAGGTGCTGGAGAGCCATTCTAATCTCGCTCAGACTGACGTCCGGGATATCTTCGGAATAGTGTCGGATGAGACTCGCTCTTGGATCGTTACTCACACTTGCGTGTGGCTCCAACGATGACGTGTACAACTGCCCATAGAACCTCTCAATCTCACTCAAAATAGCCCGGAACGATGCTGCCACATTCTGTCTTCAGCTTTGACAGTTGGCTCTTTCTGGCAGACAGATCTCTGGCAAAGACTTTGGAGCCTTGGTTCCGCTCGATCGCTTCTTCAATACGAGCTGTATTGAAGTTGCGTAAGTCCCGCCGCATGCATTTGGAGATCTCTCTGTTCAGATGCCTGTATGCTGTCAAGTCTGTTGAAGAATGTAGCTTCATCTCCCGTCTAACAGCCATGAGATTAAGAGTGTGATCGGAGAGTTTTTGTGTTCTTCTGCGGCGGGTCTTGCAGAACTTAGCTCCGACCGCATGGACAGTTTCCACGAGCTTGTCATTCATATCGTCCACTTCATTGCAGTCTTCTAGGCACTGAAAACGGTTTTGTAACTCGAGCTGAAAGGTTTCGGGACTTTGGATTAGAGCACGAGGGGGACGGAGCGTCGACTTCATTAGACGAGACCTCTCCAACTTAACGTTTAGGTTCAGTGTGCCTCTAACCATTCGGTGATCGCTACCAGTTTTCACCCTCGCGATCACGGAGACATCACTGAACAGTTGTCGTCTGGTCGTCATAATGAAGTCAATCTCATTTTTTGTCGAACCGTCGGGGCTCGACCAGGTCCACTTCCTGTGGGGCCGCTTCTGGAAGAAAGAGTTCATCATAAAGAGTCCCTCTTTCTCCATGAAGTCGGCCAGCTGCTGGCCCCTTGGGTTCCGTTGCCCTATTCCAAATTTCCCTACTTTCAGCTCACCGTTCTCTCTTGTGCCTAGTTTTGCATTAAAGTCTCCCATTAACACCGTATATTGGGTTTTGGAGGAATGCATGGCTCTAGAGATATCCTCATACATTTCCTCCACCTCCTCATCGGGGTGTGCCGAGGTTGGTGCGTAAACCTGTATGACCTTCAGCGAATACCGTTTGGTGATTCTGAGTATAAGGTACGCAACCCTCGTCGACACACTCCCGATCTTTACAACGTTGTTAACGAGAGGCTTGTGGACGATAAATCCGACACCTCCTTGGGACAGATGGTCGCCCTCCCGGTGATAGAGCAAGTTGCCGGATTCGAGGATTACCGTGTCCTCCCCCTCTCTTCGGACTTCGGATAATCCTATAATATTCCAGCGCAACTTGTCTATCTCTTCTTCCAGCTCCACGATCTTCTCGTCAGTCCTCAGGGCGCGTGCGTTGTACGTTGCGAGGTCGAGTCGTCTAAGGTGGCAACCGAACCTCCACCGGAGATTCTTAGCACCCCCTGCCCCGCCGTTACCATGGTCGCCACCGTAGCCAGGAATAGCGGGGCCGCCGGGGACTGGGGGCCGTTTCTTTGTTACTGTCATTCATAGGGGGTATTTGCCATAGTTGCCACGCTTGGCGAGCGGGTTGGCAACCGCAGTTTTTTTTTATTGTTAGTTTGTTGTTATCAAGAAGATGCTGCTGCCCATCTCCTGCCTGTTTCCCTTTGTCGCCTTTTACGACACCCACGGGAGGATATGGGGTAGTGGATATTCTTGACCGCCACTACACGGCAACGTCATACGGAATGGTAATGTCGACCAAAAATATCCTTGACTGTGCCCGGTCCATCAGCACAATATCAGGCTTATTCGCAAGAATGGTCCTGTCTGTGATGAAGGCCCGGTCCCAGTAGAGCCTGGTGCGGTCATTTTCGAGCACGGTTTCCGGCATGTACTTATATTAAGGCACTGATCCACGAGACAGTATTTCAGAGCGAGCTCCTGGTGTAGAATCCTGTCTACTAGGTTGTGTCTATGCAAGTACTCAGAGTTAGAAAGCGCCGAACAATCAGAGATGACATGCCTAAGTGATTCACCGGGATGGCGACATGCTCGACAAATGTCGACGGTGCCCAGTATCTCCGATAGTTGTTGGTCTTAATAACCTGACCCTGTATTGCACAGACAAAACCCTCGGTTTCCTCGAAGAGGTCACCAAAACGTAGCCAGTGGAGGGAGGCAACTGAGTTTACGAAAGGCTCATGTAGAGCCTTGTAGAACCTCCCGTGGAGCTCTTTCTCCTTCCATACGGTCTCCCGGTCGGAAATGCTCTGTACTGCCGGGTCTTGCCAGTGCTCGTTGGCTAAGGATAGAGGGGTGAGTCCTTTATCACAAAAAATAACGTCCCTATAGAATGGATCATCCGCTCTCGTCAAAAAGTAATTACGGAGGCTGCACACTTCGCGATTATGCATGGTAAGCGCGCTTAAAAAGCCGCGCCCACCATGTTTCCGCGGCAAGTACAGCCTCATTACCGACGATCTCGGATGATGCATCCTGTGGGACGTCATAATAGTGCGGACTTTTCTATCCAGAGCTTTCAGTTCGGTCTGAGTCCACCTGAGTATGCCAAATGTATACATGAGAACAGGCATGATCCAACCGTTATATGCGTGTGTCTTATTAACGCCCGACAAAAGACTGTTAAGTATTTTTGTCAAGCGTGCATAAAACAAATCGCAAACTGACTGCTTCATACCCGCCTCATCGACACCGATGTTCTGTGACATACTCAGGTATCGGTATGTTTTAACCTCGGAAAGGGTCCTTATGCCGATGGGCATAGATAAGTCTATGCCCTCAGAGTTAGCAACTCTTCCCCTTCGACCTCTGTGTGGATTAGTTATCGATTTTTCCGGACCGATACGACTTAGGGACCTTCAAGAAAAGAGTTTACTCCTTTCTATAAGGCCGTCAACGCACCTGCAATTCCCCTGGTGTTGCAGTTGTTCATTGGCAACGGTAGTCACTTACCATCTGGTGAGCCGTATGCTCGTTTGACCCCTCTCCTATAAAAAACACAGTGCAGCCTCTCAACAACACGATCTTCCTAACTTACACAAGAAGAACTACTACAAAGAACAGAACCACGTCAATTATGCAGAATCTCGCTATAGGCTGTAGAGGTATTGTTTTACCCAACGGGTAAAAGACTCGTAGAATTACCGACTGATCCCTCTTATTCGACTCCGCGATTTTTATGCTGCTATTCATTTATTCGTGTTACCTTTTATTTTTTTACCCTCATTCCCAACAGTATCAGATCGCCCTTAAAAATAAAATATTAAGGGCGATCTGATACTATAAACGGGGTCATCTTCTCTTGATGGTATAATCATAAAATTTGGCATGAAAGTTGGGACTGGATAGAAAAACGTAACGACAATAATGATCTGAATGCAGTAGCTACCGTCATATATACTCAACGGAATTCTTTAACGGCTAAAGATATCGTCTTATTTGACATAATTCTTTGAGATTGGATAGGAAAACGAAAATGTAACCATCGTATTAACCTGATCCTGCAGCCAGGTTCTTCTCCTCTTATTGAAATAGTTTTGTGGTAAAGCGGTCAGAAAGACCGTCTATTATATCCCGTCATGTCTGTAGGAAAAGGACAAACTAAAAGACCAATAAACATTCGCGTTAAAGAACACATCGCTCCGGGGAAGTTTGCAGTGTGTGAACACGTACGGGATCGCCTCCGTTAACTTTACCGTTAACATTACTACATCAGATTTGATAGACCACAAATCCTCGCTAAAGAACACCGATGTCTTCCAAAGATGATTCGCGAAGCTATTGAAATCAAAACCTACCCTAACCTCAATAGAGAAGATGACTGGGTGTTACCATCTGCTTCGTATCATATAACTAATAAAATAAATCTCAACCTAAGCATACATTTCCAAGATTTCATGATACTATAAAGCTTACATTCTTCGTAGATCGGACCAAAAATTAATAACTTTTAACTGAAGCGAAAATCACCACCACATTACTTATGTTTCGTATTTATGTCACTGTGTGACGTCACTGATCTACGTATTAACGACCGACGTCGAACAATGCTTAATTTAATATAATGAAAATTTTATATTTGATTGTCAGCCCAGAAGTCGATCAATGCAGCTGGCTCGAAACCGTATTTTATCGCACACCTTGAGGGAGACCTATATTCAGCTGTGGACGTGCGCTCATTGTAGAGAACCTGGTGCAGACATTCATCGACGGCATCTGTGATCTTGAAGTCAGAGCTGCTGTGAGGCTCAGGTACCACGAGACACTTAAGTACGCCTTGGCCCATGCACTGAAGATGGAAGCCGGCGGCAGAATCATCGTTCCCATCGCGTCAGGGAGGTTGCAGCAGCTACAGTTTGCGACCGCAATAAAGAATACAGCATTAGGTGCTACGGCTGTGGGGAAAGGGGCCATTTGCGATCCAGCTGCTCTAAGTGAACTGTAGAAAGGAAAGGTGAGCGATCTCCAGAGGGTAGTGCGGCTAGGAGCACCGCCCATCGCAGCGGGAAATCTCATGGTAACGCAGATGCATTGTCAAGAAGACCTTGTTATGAAGATTGCAAGCATTGTACTAGGGAAGAGGGTAAGGAAGTGGTATCTATGAGGATGCTCAGGACAGATTAGCTCAGCAATGAGTGGAAGGGTAGCCTATAACATGCACAGCAGGAAGATTCGGACATCAAGCTGATTCTAGAATGGATGAAGGCCAGTGCTCCTAAGCCCAAGTGGAGGGACGTCTCAGCGATGAGTTCGATCACGAAATGAAATTGGGTCCAATGGGACAGTTGCTGATTCAGGATGGAGTCCTGTGCCGTAAATGGAAAAGTAGCCGGGAGACATCTGTCATTTGAAAATGGTTATCCCTAAAGCTAAAGTACCAGATGTTCTAAAGCTGTACCATAATGGTTGTTCAGGAGGCCATGTGAGAGTTAAACAAACTCTACTGAAGATCCGAGAACGGTTTTACTGGGTCCACTGTCGTAACTATGTCGAGGACTGGTGTTGCAAATGTACAAATTGTGCGGCTGTAAAGGGATCTCAGATTCTTAGTAGAGGTGCACTGAAATTGTACAATGTTGGTGCAGCATGGGAGAGGTTAGCCCTTGACGTTACGGGGCCGTTTCTGAAAAGTGAATGTGGTAACAAGTATTTTATGGTTGTGATGGATTACTTCACTAAGTGGCCAGAAGTGTTCGCCATTACAAATCAGTTGCAAATAAACTAGTTCATGAAGTCTTATGGCGTTTTGGAGTACCTTTAGAGAACCACAGCGATCAAGAAAGGAATTTTGAGCCTCAATAATTCCAGGAAACTTGCCCAGTTATAGGTACTCATAAAACAAGAACAATTTCTTACCACCCACAATCTGATGGAATGGTAGAACGATTTAATCAGACATTGGAGAGGTACCTAGCAAAAGTTGTGGAAAATCGGCAACGAGACTGGGACAAGCACATACAACCATTTTTGTTGTCATATATGTATCGAAACGCTGTTCACGAAAGTACATCAGTGACACCAGCTTTTGCAAATTTTGGAAGAGAATTACGTCTGTCTGCAGACAAGATCACCGGAATACCACCTGATGCCCCACGCAGTATAACCGATTATGCAAATGACGTGCGGAACAAAATAAATGACGTTTATGAGCACGTCAGATAATCGGGCCAGCAAATGTCTGAAAAGATGAAAACCCGGTATGACCGCAAAATGAACAACAAAGGGTTCGATGAAGGTTCACTGGTGTGGTTGCACAATCCAGTTCGCAGCAAGGGGAAATCTCCCAAGCTTGAAGCTAAATGGACGGACCGCACCGGATTGTAACAAGGAACAATGACGTAACCTACTCCGCATACAAAGAGGTGCAAGAGGTACTCTTAAGATCGTTCATGTGGCTCAACTGGCGCGTTAAATGGGCCCGATAATGCTCGGGACGAGCATGTCTGAAGAGGGGGCAGTGTTGAGCGCCACTATTAATGCCTGGTATATGGCAACACAAGTTACCTTATCGAGAAGCAGAACTAGGAAAGTCAAGATCCTTCTAGAAATTTTCATGGAAGAACTTTCTAGAACTATCGACGCCTAGTCAGCCGGGACCGGTATGTAATCGAATATTCTAGATGTTTCTACAGTAGAAGATTTGGGTACTATCTGAGGCCCTATTTAAGGCCGGTATAGACCGCGATCGGAGTCAATGTTGAGTTGGCGATACAAGCGAATACTTCGAAGCGATACATCTGTACCAGTAGTACAATTGTGTTTTGTTATTAGTGTGGTTTTACGTTGTAACTAGTGTTCTGTAATTAAAGTGTTAATTTTGGTAATTAAGGTAGTTTTTAATTGTCTCGAACCCCAAGCTCGTAAGTACGAAACGGTTGTTTCCCATATATATATTATATATGGGAAACAACCGTTTCGTACTATATAGGGCATAGATACGCTCTGACATTAATTATTAGGTCACGAATAGAGGGATGTTCCTCCTGCGCTTTTATAGATGGCGTTGGGATTATTAATTACTGAAATTTACATTAGAGGGCGCTATCAACTAAGTTCAGTACGAGGGTGACACTGAAGGTTCTAAGAAAATCAAAAACTGAACAAACTAGCAAGTTATTAGTTTTATTATATATTTTCAAAATAGTGTCCATTTACATCAATACATCGCTGCATCCGATGGAACCACTGCGAAAAGCACTTTCCCCACTCGTCCTTAGGGGTCTATTCGACGGCATTTTGAAACGCAGCCACTGCTTCCTCGGCGTCCATAAAAGCTTTCCTCGAAGTTTTTCTTTTATTTTAGGAAATATTTAAAAATCGCAGGTGCAAGGTCGGGGCTATAGGGCGGGTGACACAGTAATTCCACGTCTGACGTCACCAAGTAGTCGATTGATTGCTTGGCGGTGTACAACGTGGCATTGTCGTGGTGAAGGAGGATCTTACTGCGAGGTCGCTTCTCCCGAACTTTTTCCAAGACAAGTGGCAAACAATTGTTAGTGTACTACTCTGCAGTTATGTTTTCAATCCTCTAAAACAATTGTTGCGTAATGACCTGTCCTTCCGAAGAACGAGGCCACCATTTTTTCCCCACGCTTCGACCTCTCTTCTCTAGTTGGCAACTCCTCGGAAGAAAACACCTAGACAGCAGACTGTCTCTTAGTTTCAGGATCATAACAATAAAGCCAGCTTTCGTCACCCACCGGGCACAAAGCTTCCTGGCCGCTAAATGTTCATGGAGGATTTTGTGCACTTGACTCCTACCGATGCCATAAGTCATTCTTTTGTCAATCTCTATCATACGCCGCACAACACTGATGTTATCTTCAGTCGTCGCCGTAGAGAGCCGTCCCTCACACAGATCATCGGTGAGATTAGTGCAACCACGTTTAAACTCATTAAACCAGTTGTAAACAGTGGCACGAGATGGAGCTTCATCGTGAAAGGCCAATCGAAGTCTATCATAACTTTCTTGTTGACTTAAATGACATCGAAAGTCATAAAAAAGCATTGTACGAAAATTTTCTCGCATTGTCGCGTTTTTGCTGACGTGACACAGACGATTTTTAATTTGCCGGCAAATCGTAAACAAATGACAAATTAAAGAGTTCCATTTTCAAAATTTTAACTTATTTTTTAATTAATATCGTTTACGTTAACGTACATATTTCAGTGAAATTAAAAGGAAATATATTTAATTACTAAATAATTTGATTTAAATAACGCTTCATTTAGTTTGTTTTAGATGACCATGGTATGAATTGCTTCATTTATTCTGATAAAATTATTCTATATAATATATAGACTAATTTAATGACTTTATGTTAAGTAACATAAATTGGTGGAAATAATCGTTCTACCCACAGCATTTATTTAAAAATTTCAAATGGTTTGAATTTTTAATTTCTTATGAAAATAACATATATCAAAATATCTTTTCAACTAACTATTTTTCTTGAGGTCTTTTGAATTGATAATATTTTTTGTTTCTTTAATTTGTCAGTGATTTAAGATATTTAAAGCTTTGAAATTGATGCTAAAATTAATGAAATTACGAAAACCACTGTTTAGTTTTCTTGATAGCATCCACAAATACTGTATTAATCTCTGCTAACTATTTAGACCAAAAAATTCCTAAAGTTAGGAGTTATTAACATTTGTGTAAAATAAGATGTTGGACATTAACAGGTTATAAAAGTACCGCTTTGAACTAATCAGCACTTGGAACGTGAACACATTCTTATTACGTGTTATTATTAGATTAAACATAATATTTTATAGACATTAGTGTGTTTGTGACATTAGTGCAATGGACTTCAACGGCCTGATGAAGACGATAATGAAGAAATTGCTTTGAATATTTTCTTTTATTATTTAAATACACCGCATACACTTGCTGTTTTTATTACTACACTCACCAGTCACCACAGTCACACAGTTTAAAGTGGTTAAAAATATTGTAAATTATTCGTATTTTTCCGCTATGAATTATCGATCCACTTTTATTCTTAGTAAAATTTAACATAGATAACGCGCAAATGAAACAACCGTTTCGTACAAAAATTTGCCTTCAACTAGTCAGTGTGAACTTGACTTTCTAATTTTCGGCATCCTGATTGGTTGGGGGGCGTGGCTAAACCGGCGGAAAACGAAAACGATGACTCACTATTCTTTTAACGCGAACGAATTATAATATATTAATAAGATGCTGCTGAATCCTTATTCGAGTAGCATAATAATATCATAATATCAAAAACTCTGAGGTATTCATTGTTAGTCCTCGACTATTAATTAAAGCCAACTTCATAAAAAGTCGACGTAGGACAAAGTTGGCTGCAGAAGTCCATAGACGGCAGTAGCCACTTACCATCAGGTCACAGATTAAATAATGTACCAGGTTGGCTGTTACTTCGTTTGACACTTCAGTCTATACAAATAAATAAAATTGAAGTGTCTGTTTATAATGTAAAAATAACAGCTTTCTACTAAATGCATATGAAAGTATAACATCATCATTACATCCCGTCACAAGTCCACTGCTGAACATAGGCCTCCCCCAAGGAATGCCACAAAGCACGGTCATGAGCCACCTGCATCCAGCGACTTCCTGCATATCTTACGAGGTCGTCACTCCATCTAGTGGGGGACGCCCTACACTTCGTCCGCCGGTACGAGGTCGCCACTCGAGAACCTGTTTTCCCCATCGGTTGTCGGTTCTTCGAGCTATATGGCCGGCCCATTGCCACTTCAGCTTACTAATCCGTTGGGCTATGTCGGTTACTCTGGTTTTAGTGCGGATATCCTCATTGCTAAGTTTATCATGCAGAGAAACTCCGAGCATAGCCCTCTCCATAGCTCGCTGAGTGACCTTGAGCTTCCTCATACGACCAGCAGTGAAAGTATATACGGTACTAATAACAAAAAAATAATTTTAAATTTTTTTGTCTGTCTGCTAGTCTCCGAAACGGATGGACCGATTTTTACGGGACTTTCACTGGCAGATAGCTGATGTTATAAGGAGTAACTTAGCATCCTTTTATTTTAGAAAAATAATTAGGTTTCCGAAAAATTAAAACCCATGATATCGTATTAAATTCCACGCGGGCAAACTAGCGGGGCACAGCTAGTTTTATAAATAAAATAACGCCAACTAAAGGATTTTCATAAAGACTAGAGTTAAGTAAACATACTACATACGAGTACGGACTTATACAACGTGGCCGTTACAATGGTGACATAATTTCACCCGGGAACGGTGACCTATATGTCTGTGGGACCGGGTGACTTGAAAAATTCGAATAACTTTTTCCCCCGCCGCCGATTTTTGCCACGATTTCGAGTAGCTGCCTCATTTCCCCTCCCACACCGTCAGTTCACCTGGCAACGTCGGAGCAGTCCTACGTTCCTGAGTTTTGGCGCCAGCCCGGTGCGGTACACCGGGGTCACCGAATATGTAAGTAAAACAGGCCGAATTGAATTATTGAATATTCGTTTTTTGTCTGATTTATGTACATTTTTTACTTACCTTTGTTATTTTTTTATTGTATTATTCTATAATCAGTAAGTTTATTGCATGATTTTATCAATTTTATCAAAATATCACAAAATTATTCTATCTTGTTTCAAATATAAACTTTGTTACAGTATGTCGTACGAAAGGGAACAGCATCGTCTAGAATCGCTTCTTCATGAACTGCTTGATGACGACAGACCATCAATGTCTTCAGA